ACTTGACTGTAACCAGAAATGTCAGGTAATTCAAATATCTAACCAGAAATGTCAGGTAATACAGATATCTAACCAGAAATGTCAGATAATACAGATATCTAACTAGAAATGTCAGATGATACAGATATCTTACCAGAAATGTCAGGTAATACAGATATCTAACCAGACATGTCAGGTAATAAAGATATCTAACTAGAAATGGCAGGTAATAAAGATATCTAACCAGAAATGTCAGGAAATAGAGATTTCTAACCAGAAATGTCAGGTAAATTGGATATCAAACCAGAAATGTCAGGTAAACTAGATATCAAACCAGAAATGTCAAGTAAATGGGCTATCTAACCAGAAATGTCAGATAATACAGATATTATACCAGAAATGTCATGTAATTCAGATATCTAACCAGAAATATCAGGTTATTCAGATATCTAACCAGAAATGTCAGGTGATAGAGATATCTAACCAGAAATGTCAGGTAATTCAGATATCTAACCAGAACTGTCAGGTTATAGTGTGAACCAACCAGAAATGTCAGGTAATACAGATATCTAACCAGAAATGTCAGATGATACAGATATCTAACCAGAAATATCAGGTAAATTGGATATCTAATCAGAAATGTGTGTGAATACAGATATCTAGCCAGAAATGTCAGTTAATAGAGATATCTTATCAGAAATGTTAGATAATACAGATATCTAACCAGAAATGTCAGGTAATAGAGATATCTAACCAGAAATGTCAGGTAAATTGGATATCTAACCAAAAATGTCAGGTAAACTAGATATCAAACCAGAAATGTCAAGTAAATCAGTTATCTAAGCAGAAATGTCAGGTAATACAGATATCTTACCATAAATGTCAGGTAATACAGATATCTAACCAGAAAAGTCAGGTAATACAGATATCTAACCAGAAAATCAGGTAAATACAGCTATCTAAGCAAAAATGTCAGGTAATATAGGTATCTAATCAGAAATGTCAGGTTAATCAGATATCTAACCAGAAATGTCAGGTAATACAGATATCTAACCAGAAATATCAGTTAATACAGTTATCTAACCAGAAATGTTAGGTAATACAGATATCTAACCAGAAATGTCAGGTAATAGAGATATCTAACCAGAAATGTCAGGTAAATTGGATATCTAACCAAAAATGTCAGGTAAACTAGATATTAAACCAGAAATGTCAAGTAAATCAGTTATCTAAGCAGAAATGTCAGGTAATACAGATATCTTACCATAAATGTCAGGTAATACAGATATCTAACCAGAAAAGTCAGATAATACAGATATCTAACGAGAAAATCAGGTAATACAGCTATCTAAGCAAAAATGTCAGGTAATATAGGTATCTAATCAGAAATGTCAGGTTAATCAGATATCTAACCAGAAATGTTAGGTAATACAGATATCTAACCAAAAATATCAGTTAATACAGTTATCTAACCAGAAATGTCAGGTAATATAGATATCTACCAGAAATGTCAGATAATATAGATATCTAACCAGAAATGTCAGGTAATACAGATTTCTAACTAGAATTGTCAGGTAATACAGATATCTAACCAGAAATTTCAGGTAATACAGACATCTTACCAGAAATTTCAGGTAATACAGATATCTAACCAGAAATGTCAGGAATACGGATATCTAACCAGAAATGTGTAATACAGATATCTATCGAAGCAGAATTGTAAGTTAATTCAGATATCTATATAAGCAGAAATGAAATGTCAGGTATATCACCAAATACTTAGTATTGTTCAGCTTCTCTGTTGTTATTCACTTCCACTTTTAAAGTGGGGGATGTTAATATGGATCTGTCTGTTTGTCTGTCATTTTAATAATTTTGATAATGGAAGATTAAAACTTATTGAATCATTATGAATTCAAACTAATAGAGCTACAGTCTCATCTGAGACTTGTTTGATATTAAAGTTTGGAATGTGTTGACTTTATAGAAGCTGACCTATGGCCCTGGTTGTATCTATCGCTGCGACCAGTGTGTCCATAGTGACACGTGTGACCCAATCTCTGGTCAGTGTCAATGTTTACCTGGATACCAGGGGGTTTTCTGTCAACAACCATGTTCTAAGGGTAGCTATGGCAACGGATGTAAACAGAACTGCAGGTACATCATAATTATTCAACTTTTTATATGCCCATCTTAAGACAGGACGTATTATGGTATGGCCTTCATGTCCATCTGTCTGTCTGTTAGATTTTTCCTGTCTTGCTCATAACTTAAATACTATGAGGCCTAGAATACCCAACTTTTTCAGCTGATACATTTTGGGTAAAAGGTGTGTCACACATTAAAAAAGGTTGTTGTAATAACCTTTAATTAAGATGGCATGGCCAAATATAAAAAAAAATTCTGTTTGCCTCATAATTGAAAAACTTTAAGACCTAGAATCGTCAAACTTGGTTACATTCATGCATCTTACATAGAGGGTGTGTCCCATACTACTTAAAGGTCACTGTGGACTTGAATTAAGGTGAAAATAAAAAAAAATATGTTTTTAAGTTACACAATCCCAACAGATGTAAGAGTATTGAAGTCATTATATTAAAAAATGTTAATTCAAGAAAATACACATATCTTTCAGGAATTAGGCATAGGAATCTGGCCTCTTAATTGCAATTGATAGCATCTGTCAAATTTAAATAATTCTTATTGGTAGCCATTACTTTCAAAATTAATTTGGTGTAAAGTTTTAAAATTAATCTGATTGTATAATATAATACTTTTATTTTATTTTTTATATCTCAACACAAATTGCAGAGTGTCATGTCTTGCTAAGAAAACATTTTTACAGTCTAAGAATAAACATAACATTTTGTGTTTTGATGATTTATTAGGCTGTAGCATTGTTCTTCATTCATAAAAAAATACAATGAATAAACTGCAGAGGGGTTTATAACATGATTGAGTCTGTAATATCATGAATATTTAACTTATTCAAATGATATTATAAGATGATATTTAATCTTATTCACAAATCATCACTGACAAAATACTTCATAATGTAAACATGCATATATAAGTCTTTTGGATTGCAATCATTTTTTAAATTTCTGCTTTGTTCATGTATTTTTTTTTATTTGAAAGTTGCCAGAATGGTGGAGAATGTGACAATGTCAATGGAACTTGTCTGTGTCCCACGGGATTCATGGGATCTGATTGTTCTCAGAGGGTAAATATAATGCATTCCTTTCTAGTGAGATACATAGGGCCTGATCTCAGAGGGTTAGTATAATGCATTCCTTACAAGTGAGATACATGGGGCCTGATCTCAGAGGGTTAGTATAATGCATTCCTTACTAGTGAGATACCTGGGGCTTGATCTCAGTGGGTTAGTATAATGCATTCCTTACGAGTGAGATACATGGGGCCTGATCTCAGAGGGTTAGTATAATGCATTCCTTACTAGTGAGATACATGGGGCCTGATCTCAGTAGGTTAGTATAATGCATTCCTTACTAGTGAGATACATGGGGCCTGATCTCAGAGGGTTAGTATAATGCATTCCTTACTAGTGAGATACCTGGGGCCTGATCTCAGAGGGTTAGTATAATGCATTCCTTACAAGTGAGATACATGGGACCTGATCTCAGTGGGTTAGTATAATGCATTCCTTACTAGTGAGATACATGGGACCTGATCTCAGTAGGTTAGTATAATGCATTCCTTACTAGTGAGATACCTGGGGCTTGATCTCAGTGGGTTAGTATAATGCATTCCTTACTAGTGAGATACCTGGGGCTTGATCTCAGTGGGTTAGTATAATGCATTCCTTACTAGTGAGATACATGGGGCCTGATCTCAGTGGGTTAGTATAATGCATTCCTTACTAGTGAGATACATGGGGCCTGATCTCAGTAGGTTAGTATAATGCATTCCTTACTAGTGAGATACATGGGACCTGATCTCAGTGGGTTAGTATAATGGATTCTTTAATTGTGAGATTCATAGGATCTTACTGTTCCCAGAGGGTTATAGTATTATGGATTCTTTACTTGTTAGATTCCAGGGACCTGATTTTTTTCAGAGATTAAGTATAATAGACTGTTAAGTTCTCTTAGACATACACTTATGCACTTCATTGTAGCAGTTATTCTTTTTATCCACATGTAGTGCCCAAAGGGAAAATATGGGCCAGACTGTTCGCTGAACTGTACGTGTGGCCCCTTGTCTGAGGGATGTGATGTCACCACAGGAAAATGTAACTGTCAGCCTGGATTTACTGGAGGTAATGCTAAAATATCAAAAAAAAACAATGTCTTTTAGCTCACCTGAGGCAAAGGCTCAAATTAGATTTTTATTGAAAAGTGATGGTGTATGATTTGTATGGGCAGATAAGTGTGAAAAGTCCTGTCCCACCCTGGCGTACGGCGCCGGCTGTGAGAGATCCTGTCGTGATGTGTGTGATGTCACAGGAATGCTTACCTGTAGTCCTGTAGATGGAGCTTGTCAGTGTCGCCCCGGATACACAGGACAAAAGTGTGACCAGTGTAAGTATAGACAAATTTGTCAAGATGTAGTGCTCATCTGTTCAGAGTATGATGACTGTAATCTTATTACACACATGTGTTTAGATTGTCCTAGTGGGATGTGGGGTGTTTCCTGTGCTCAAAGGTGTTTATGTGGTTCCCATGGTAACTGTGACAGAGAGACAGGTGTGTGTGACTGTGACCCGGGATACAACGGGACATACTGTAATCAGGGTAAGTAAAACTAGCCTAACAATATTCCAATTATCAGTGATGTACTGTAATCAGGGTATGTAAAGCCAGTGTAACAATATTCCAATTATCAATGATGTACTGTAATCAGGGTAAGTAAAGCCAGTGTAACAATATTCCAATTATCAATGATGTACTGTAATCAGGGTATGTAAAGCCAGCCTAACAATATTCCAATTATCAATGATGTACTGTAATCAGGGTATGTAAAGCCAGTGTAACAATATTCCAATTATCAATGATGTACTGTAATCAGGGTATGTAAAGCCAGTGTAACAATATTCCAATTATCAGTGATGGACTGTAATCAGGGTATGTAAAGCCAGTGTAACAATATTCCAATTATCAATGATGTACTGTAATCAGGGTATGTAAAGCCAGTGTAACAATATTCCAATTATCAGTGATGTACTGTAATCAGGGTATGTAAAGCCAGCCTAACAATATTCCAATTATCAATGATGTACTGTAATCAGGGTAAGTAAAGCCAGTGTAACAATATTCCAATTATCAATGATGTACTGTAAACAGGGTATGTAAAGCCAGCCTAACAATATTCCAGATATCAGTGATGTACTGTAATCAGGGTAAGTAAAGCCAGTGTAACAATATTCAAATTATCAATGATGTACTGTAATCAGGGTAAGTAAAGCCAGTGTAACAATATTCCAATTATCAGTGATGTACTGTAATCAGGGTATGTAAAGCCAGCCTAACAATATTCCAAATATCAGTGATGTACTGTAATCAGGGTATGTAAAGCCAGTGTAACAATATTCCAATTATCAATGATGTACTGTAATCAGGGTAAGTAAAGCCAGTGTAACAATATTCCAATTATCAGTGATGTACTGTAATCAGGGTAAGTAAAGCCAGTGTAACAATATTCAAATTATCAATGATGTACTGTAATCAGGGTAAGTAAAGCCAGTGTAACAATATTCCAATTATCAATGATGTATAGTTCATCAAGCATTTTTCTTTAAAAAGAAGGTTATCATAATCTATATGTGATCTTCTTGATTCAGTGTATGAAATGCTGGCTCCATTAGGAGCTGTGTATAACTTAACCTAAATCTTACAGGTGTATGACATTAACTATTGGTTTTTCTTTTCTTTATAGTGTTTGAAGTGCTGGCTTCATTAGGAACAGTGTATAACTGTAGGGTACCAAAATCTTACAGCTGTATGTCATTAACTTTTGGTTTTTCTTATCTTTGTTTATAGTGTGTGATGCTGGTTCCTGGGGAAAACATTGTAGCAATGCCTGTAATTGTGGAGGGGCCAACTGTAACCCTGTCATTGGAGAGTGCTTGTGTCCCCCGGGGAAAATAGGGCACCACTGTGAACAAGGTACATAGAGGATATTCAATGTTTTGTAGATGAATATGGAATTTATTTCACGAGTGGGGCAGAAATTTTTTATATTTTCACGAGTGCGAAGCACGAGTGAAAATATCAAAAAAATGCTGTCTCACGAGTGAAATAAATTCCATATTCATCTACAAAACATTGAATTTTCTGTTTATTACATTTTCTTTGATTTTCCCTTTGCCTCTGTCTTTTCTTAACACAGTGTCATAGGCTTTTCAGTTGACGTCACAGTTGAGCGGTTGAGACGTCATGCCGTAGCTTAGCAGTTGTGTGATTGAAAACATTACATAGCATGGACTTTAGCAACATATTTGGGAAGAAATTTGCAGTTTTAGCTCTATCAAGATGCTTAGTTACTATCTCTATCTTATGACAGGCCATTAGTTATTTTTTACTTACTTTGATATCCTTTCACACTGTGAGAGAATATCATTTTGGTATCCTTTCACACTGTGAGAGAATATCACTTTTATTCAATAAATAAATCACAGTATTTCACTGTCGAAAATGTAATAAAGAGGAATATACAATTTTATAATAGCACTGTGTTAAACAAGATATACTTGGTACAGCCTACTCCAGTTATATAATATTGAACTTGAGGAGATGGCATAGAACATGCTTTGTATTACGTGTGTATATCCATGATCATTGTAAGAAATATAACTCCTTACAATATAAATTAAACTCCACAAAAATTGGTGATCTCACAGTATATTGTAACTGAGTTTTGAGTAAGTTAACATAATGTTTTGATAGAGTGTGGCGGGTTGTCTTTTGGTTTCCAGTTTAAATAAGTTTATTTGATGTCAGATTTTAAGTTTATTTGATGTGTTTTGCTAGAGTGTGGTGCCTCGTACTTTGGTTTCCAATGTGCCCAGCTGTGTGGGTGTCAGAATAACGGTGTGTGTGACAAAGTGACGGGAGAGTGTACCTGTCAGCCGGGCTGGAGTGGAACGTTCTGTGATCAAAGTAGGTCACCCAATTTTCAATGTTGGCAGAAAAAGTAGGTCACCCAACTCTCAATGTCAGCAGAAAAACTAGGTCACCCAACTCAGTGTTGGCAGGAAAAATGTTAACATATTACCTTTAAGCTTAACTAATGTCATTAGTACATGTAAGGCCTCCTTAGGGTGCATGTAAGCAATATTAGAAGTGATTCAAATCTTGATTTCTTTCTTTTATATCCTGAACACAAGGAATATCACAACAATTTTATGCCACAATAATTGTGCTAATGAACTGATGTTGAAGTAAACTCTTTGACAATGTTAAGGTGACTTGGACATTGTTAAGGCGACTCTGACATTGTTAAGGTGAACCAGACATTGTTAAGGTGACTCAGACATTGTTAAGGTAACTCTGACATTGTTAAGGTGACTCAGACATTGTTAAGGTGACTCTGACATTGTTAAGATAACTCATTGTTAAAGTGACTTGGACATAGTTGAGGTGAATCAGACTTTGTTATAGTGACTCAGACATTGTTAAGTTGACTCAGACATTGTTAATTTAACTCAGACATTGTTAAGGTGACTTGGACATTGTTAAGGTGAATCAGACATTGTTAATTTAACTCAGACATTGTTAAGGTGACTCTGACATTGTTAAGGTGAATCAGACATTGTTAAGGTGACTCTGACATTGTTAAGGTGAATCAGACATTGTTAAGGTGACTTGGACCTAGTTAAGGTGACTCAGACATTGTTAAGGTGACTCAGACATTGTTGAGGTGAATCAGACATAGTTAAGGTGACTCTGACATTGTTAAGGTGAATCAGACATTGTTAAGGTGACTCGGACCTAGTTAAGGTGACTCAGACATTGTTGAGGTGAATCAGACATTGTTAAGGTGATTTATACATTTTTAGGTTATTCATTCATTGTTAAGTTGACCTGAACATTGTTAAGGTGACTTGGACATTGTTAAGGGGGGTCAGATATTGTTAAGGTGAATCTGACATTGTTGTGTTACAGGGTGTCCTGATGGTATGTACGGAGCTGACTGCAGTAACCAATGTCCTAACTGTCGAAACGGGGGGTCATGTGACAGTATCACAGGATTGTGTCTGTGTGCCGTGGGATATAAAGGGGTTCTCTGTAACCAAAGTAAGTACTGCTGTAGACACAGGGCATTGGATTACAAAAGTATTAGATTTTGAAGTACTGTACACAGCTATTAGATTTTGTTATAAAAACTTTTTTTTAGTTCACCTCATCAAAATTGAGCTTTGCTTTTGATGCACTCCCCTTTTCACCTTTTTGGAGCCATATTTTTCATAAGTGGTCATTGTGTACATATTTGCGTGCCCTATATGAGCTAATCTAATGCACTTATAATGCGTCTGTAAAGAAGTTTTTCAGATTAAGGGTGAAGTTGTCGCTACTCTAACAAAAAAAGGTGATTGTAGTTAATTTTGATAGAAAGAGTAAAATTATTTTTATGAAATACAAGACAATGTGAGTGATTAATACATACATTTATGATCATATTTCAAATACAATCATGTTATGTAATCTTTATTGCAGCTTGTGATCCAGGGACCTGGGGAGCAAACTGCCAGAGTTACTGCCCTTCACCTTGTAAACTAAACTGTGTCCCTACAACAGGGGAATGTCCCTGTCACCAGGGGGCGTGTCTCAATGGAGGAATCTGTAAACAGGTAAATACATTAACCAGAGTTACTGACCTTTATTGTATCCCTACAACAGGGGAGTGTCCTTGTCACCAGGGGGCGTGTCTCAATGGAGGAATCTGTAAACATGTAAATACATTAACCAGAGTTACTGCCCTTCATGGTATCCCTACTACAGGGGAGTGTCCCTGTCACCAGGGGGCGTGTCTCAATGGAGGAATCTGTAAACATGTAATACCTTATCCAGAGTTACTGCCCTTCATGGTATCCCTACTACAGGGGAGTGTCCCTGTCACCAGGGGGCATGGCTCAATGGAGGAATCTGTAAACAGGTAAATACATAAGCCAGAGTTACTGCCCTTCATGGTATCCTTAATACAGGGGAATGTTCCTGTCACCAGGGGGCGTGTCTCAATGGAGGAATCTGTAAACAGGTAAATACATAAGCCAGAGTTACTGCCCTTCATGGTATCCTTAATACAGGGGAATGTTCCTGTCACCAGGGGGCCTGTCTCAATGGAGGAATCTGTAAACAGGTAAATACATTAGCCAGAGTTACTGCCCTTCATTGTGTCTCTACAAAGGGGGAGTGTCCCTGTCACCAGGGGGCGTGTCTCAATGGAGGAATCAATTCGTAAGTCAGAGTTACTGCCCTTTATTGTATCCCTGCAACAGGTGAATGTCCCTGTCACCAGGGGACGTGTATCAATGGAGGAATCTGTAAACAGGTAAATACATTAACCAGAGTTACTGACCTTTATTGTTTTTCTACTACAGGGGAGTGTCCCTGTCACCAGGGGGCATGTCTCAATGGGGGAATCTGTAAACAGGTTAATACATAAGCCAGAGTTCCTGCCCTTTATTGTGTCCCTACTACAGGGGAATGTCCATGTCACCAGGGGCATGTCTCAATGGGGGAATCTGTAAACAGGTTAATACATAAGCCAGAGTTACTGCCCTTTATTGAGTCGGTCAACTGAGAGTTGCTGCCCCTGCTCCTAAGAGTTGCTGAAAAAAAAATTCTAATCAACAAGCAGATGTGGTCATCTATGTGGAGTCATTTAATTTGTTATTTGGTGAAATCTTTAATTAGATCCAATAACTGTTCTCCATCTTTAAAGAATTAAGGATAGAAGATATAAAATGACACATCTCTGTTTTTGGCTCATATGGGCTTAATGCTAAGGTGAACTTTTCTGAACAATGTTTGTCCATTGCTTTTGAGTCTATTTATTTTTTTTTTTTTTACATAGTTATGTTTAACTTCTAATTATAAAAATTAATTCATACTACATGGTAAAAACTTGACAGTTTTTGTTCCTTTTCAGGGTAAATGTATGTCATAGTTTCTTCTTCAGGGAAATATGTGTGGTGGTATGATTTCTTTTTCAGGGTAAATGTGTGTGTCAGTATGGTCTCTTTTTCAGGGTAAATGTGTGTGTCAGTATGGTTTCTTTGGAGATGACTGTTCACAGTCACTAGGGAGAACTCTGGCATCACAGAAATCCAACAGTTGTAAGTGACCATTGTATGTACAAAAAGATCCAATAATATTCTGCCAAAATTAATTGTATACCTTTGAGTAAATAAAATGTTGAATTTTACTGAAAATCATCATATAAATGTCCTTTATTTTTCAGCACCTTCTAGTTTGACCTTGACCTCGGGTCAAGTGGTTGGTATTGTCATGGGTTTACTGGTCCTCATTTTGCTGGTAGTCCTGCTGACTATTTTTATAATGAGACGAAGATATCGCAACCAACAGAACAACATCACATCAATGAACTTAAACAATTCTGTGAGCTTTTAAGAATTGTCCCCATTTAAAAGTATAAAGGGACCAATTAAGTTTATTTATAAGGTCTATTTGGTTTTAATTTATTCATTAAAGTGTATAAATGTATGCATTGTCCCGCCACCCAATTCACAGACAGTTTTCTTACACAGCTCCAGGAGGACAATGACGTACGAGGTTTTACTAATCCTCACTACGATGTCCAGCATTCTGACAACATGGCCGACTCCTCGGGAGGGAAAACAGATACACATTCAGAAGACAGTGCTACTGCTTAATGTAACAACAAGGACAGGGATTCTCTGATCAGATTGTGATACAGTGTACATCTGTGATATTATTATACAACAGCGATACCTGCGACTTCAAAGATTGATGTGGATATATTAACGTTTGTCGAACAATTCACTGAAAGAATTCAAAGTGGATATAAAACTTCTATGCAATAGTTTATTCGTGTAAATGTTTGCCCAATCATTGTGATAATTTCTGAAAGAAAAACTCCAGACTGCTCAGTACATGTGAGTAACTTCTTTTAAGCCCTTTATATCGTGAAATACGACTATTTGTATACTACTGCATTATGTGTATTACTTTGTTATACCTTGGTATTGTACAATAAAGACTCCAATAATAGAGATCGACCATGAAGTTGGGGAGTCTGAACAAATCAAAAAATTCAATTCTTTCAAAAAATGACCATTATGCAGAATAACTTGCAGGCTGGTCTTATGATATTGGGATTGACTACCCAATTGTCTGCTTGTCACATTCACCATGAGCCCTATGTAATGATCAGGTACACTGAATATTCCGTGTCAAATTTACTAGTGGTCTAACAATTGATATGAAATATGTCAGTCAAAGTTTGACCCATTGAAAGGTGGTAGTTGTTAGCAAGGTCATCACCCAAAGTGTGATAGTGTCTGCTATATATACCCTTCACAATTCAATCCATAGTCTGTAAAATACTTTGGATTATAGTGTAAGATAGTATTTGATTGATACGATGTACTTGCCTTAAAATCTATGTCTTGGTTGTTAGGAAGGGGGATGGATGGGGGTGTTTTACCACTTTAGGAGGGGTCCATGTTTCCTATAGGAGAAAAAGGGAGTCCAAGGTCATTATTTGGTTAATAAATCCCAGGGAAGCCTTACACCCCTCCTCCAGCCCCTTGAATCAGTATTGAGTGGCATTAAAATTTAAAAAAAAAATTATTTAAAGTTTCTGTTTCAACTACTGTATCTACTAAGTTTCGGACTCAAAGATGAATTACATCTTTTACATGGTAGATAAGGACGTAACATATTTTTAGAAGTGGAGGAGAATGGTACAACCAGAAAAATAGTGACAAGCCAAAAAAAGGCAATGGATAGTTTCATAAAACTGAAAAATCTTGTACAGGTAACAATGGGGGGGGGGGGGGGTCACATGAGAAACCTTGATCCGGCTCTGCTACAAAAAGTGCGAGGAGGGTTGCGTCTGGCCTCTTAATAATATTTTCTATACATAATTAACAGCAAAAGCCTATTCCCAGAAAAAAGTGGGGGTTTGGGTATCCTGGTAGGATTATAAGCAACATGTAGAGGCATAAAATACTTATTAATTTTGACTGTTTTCTAATGACTCCTGCAAGATAATCTTTGATCCTGATAGGATCAGTCTGTTTTCAAGTGATCAGATATGATTTTTCTTAACTTCCAAAGTTATCATTATCAATTGACATACTTTCTACACCATTCTGTATTTTATTTAAACTTAAGCTTGTTGTGAGGTGTGTTGTAATTGAAATATGTTTGTATTGTTTCATCATGTATATATTGAGTATCACAAGAAACTTCTAGAACATTCTAGAGTGGTCAACATGTATGGTCATTTTTTCTAGAACATTCTTGAATTTCGTGTATATCCAGAATATTCCAGTAACATCTTGTATTTACAATTTCTAGAATTTTCTAGATTTATGTTAATGTATAAATACACTAGATGAAATCCCGCGCAAGCGCGGGGAATAGAATTTATACCACTACCGACAGAAAAAATCCAATAATATATATATTGTAGTTTCTACTGACAGCCAAGAGGCTTATAGCAGGAAGAAATACTTTGTTCAAAATCCCGCATGAAGTAGAAGTACGCCCCCCCCCCCCCCCTCGCGCCTTGTAAAACTTAAATAACAATTTCATTAATTGACGTTTATTGTGAAACCTGTTATATACTATGTTATGGATATTGTATATACTATGTTATGGATATTGTACTTCAGATACTCTTATTTCATTTCCGTCAAGAAATGCACATTTTACTGAGAAATTGATTTTTTTGGGTAAAAATTCACAGGTACTTGGGTCTTGGTTTATAAATATGTATGTACCTTATTGATATGTAAAAACTGTACCTTACCTCTTTTTTTACATATCAATAAGGTACATACATATTTATAATCCAAAACCCAAGTACATGTGTAAAAATTAGATTTTAAATGCACTGGCGGATTTAGAGGGGGCCCAGCCCACTCCCCCTCTCTCATTTTGTGTCCAAAATATACATAAAATTTAATAAATCTGTGTCTGTGGGCCCCTACACCAACCCCAAACTGGTCGCCCCTCCCCCCTTTTTCAAAATTCCTAGATCCACCACTGGAATAGGCCGAGTATTTGATATAAAAGACTTTTCAGAAAAAAAAAACTGAAATGTATTGATTAAAGTACAAAATTTTACAGCATAATTGTATTTGAACAATGCCTTGTTCATTAATTTTCTCTTTTCATGTAAGCAGGTTTATTACGAATTAAGTCCAAATTGTACTTAGGGTTCGTTGCCACGATGCTCTCAGTGAGGAATATATACAAATTTTTACCGATAAATTTATTAGGAAAACCTACTAATTATATGTAATAGTCTTTCGATATATAAATATATTCACAACTTACAATATTATCAATGGTTTACCATTATTTCAATGACAATTCACACAAAAGTTTTTTTTTTATGTTAAAGTAGCCATTTTCTTTTTAACATCGGACTCGATGCTATATGATGTTCTAGAAGCTTCCGTCAATATTAAGATCGGTGAATGACAAAAATAATTTGCACATTTTCATTTTTAATCGGTTATCACAACTCATTTCTTTTATATCATTTAAATCAAGTTTTGATTGAATAATTCAGTAATGACGTTTAATGAAATAAATAAACGATTGCTTGTTGCCAGTTTCATTAAAATTGCCAGTAACTTAGATCCGCCACCCGGAAACGCCACCGTACTCATGTTTTTGCTATTTCATGGCTGTTTATAGAAAATAAAAGTAGACTTTTAATTTAATGTACGATATTTACGATGCAAGTGAAATCTAAATATAGTTTACGGACATCATCTTGTATCATGTGTATTCTTAGAGGAGTAAGTAAGAACTCTGGTGCACCCGTTTCGGAGTTTATTTGCAAAATTTAATATATAAGTATAGATTGTAAATTGTGTGCATGGGTAATTAAGACTAGCGAACAAGGAGACTGTCGTTCGGAGTACAAAGAGACTGGGATAGGATACTCTCACTGGAACATTGTGTATAGTGACAGACACTCTGTTGTATGTTGGTTTGGATTCTTGCTGTAAGTTTGTACTTTTGATTTTTTTTATATATTACTGTAAAGAAATTTTTGTTAAGTTTAAACTGTGTGATTGATTTTTGCTGGCATTTCGGGTTTTTCTGACCCGTAACAGAATTGGGGGCTCGTCCGGGATCAAGAATTTTTGCAGTTTAAATTTATTGTCACAATTTTGTTAATTCATTCGTTGAATTAAATTAATAATAAGCCAGCAGAAATCAACATGGTATTTTCGGTGACAGACTTTCTTAGTTCGCCAAGTGTTCAGGTTTTTGATAAGTTAAAAAAGGATGACTTGATTGCGTTAGGTTTGCACTTTCGGTTAGATGTTAAATCTTCTCTGCGAAAGCAAGACATCAAAATTAAGATTGCAAACAAATTAGTAGAGGAAAACATTTTTGGAAAATACGATCTTCCAGAATATACAGCTAAATCAGAGATAGAACCTTATAAAATGTCAGAATTTTTGCATCAAGTAGAGTTGGAGAAGATACAATTTGAACGAGAAAAATTAGAAAGAGAAAGAGAAGAACGAGAAAGTGAAGAGCAAGAGCGTGAAAGGAAATTTGAGTTGGAAAAATTAGAAAGACAAGAGCGAGAAAGAGAAACTGAAATGAACTTTGAGTTAGAGAAATTAAGATTACAGCACCAAACAGAACTGTCGTTTGTCAAGACTGAATTTGACGCAGCAAAAAATATCAGATTAGTTCCAAGTTCCAAAATTTCAAGAAAAATCTGTGGACAAATATTTCCCCAATTTGAAAAAGTCGCAGAGAATCTCAAATGGCCACGAAATGTTTTGTCAACTATGCTACAAAATGTGCTGGTTGGCAAAGCGACTGAGGTATACTCTGCACCAGGGGTAGCTGAGAGTTCAGACTATGACAAGGTCAAGGCAGCGATATTAAAAGCATACGAATTAGTACCTGAAGCGTATAGACAAAAGTTCAGAAAGTAAAGAAAGTTTGATAATCAAACATATGTTGAATTTTCACGAGAGAAAGAAGATCTATTTGATTACTGGTTTAGATCTAAGAAACGAGATAAAACTTTTGCTAATTTGCGTCAAGTCATCCTGGTAGAAGAGTTTAAGGAATGTGTTCCTCAAGATCTGAAAACACATCTAGAAGATAAGAATGTGAAAACTCTTGAAGAGGCAGCTGTACGTCATATCTGATACTTATACTCTGTCTCATAAAAAGAATTCTGTTACAAGATCTCAGACTAGCAATAATTCTACAAATTCAGACACATATAAAAAGAGTGGTTCAGGGTCTCAGTCTTCCACAAGTCCCCAGTCACCATCGCAAGCTGGTTCCAAGTCCGGTCCAGGACGTTATGAAGGTTCCCCTGGAATAGGGTCGCTTCCTTCTTGTGGTTATTGCAAGAAAACAGGTCATCTGATCAGTGAATGCTTTAAACTTAAGAGAAAAAATGACCTTGTTAAAACTCAGCCACACGCTTGTGCGGCAGTTAGAGGTGATAAGGAAGCCTTAGTTTCGATTTGTTCTGACACTCCTGATGTTCAGGGTTCAAAGTCCAGTTCTGTTGATTCTATGGAGGATTATAAGCCCTTTATGTCTCAGGGATTTGTTTCACTCGGTGACTCTAGCGAAATTAAACCTATTTAGATTTTAGAGATACTTGTGCTGCGCAGACTTTGTTGTTAGAGGGCTTGATTCCTCTGTCGGAGCAGACCTCTACTGGTAGGTCAGTTTTATTACAGGGTGTGGAGCTAGGCGTCATTGATGTTCCCTTGCATAGAATTTGTTGGAAGTCAGATTTAGTTACTGGACCTGTTACCCTAGGTGTTCGACCTACTCTTCCCGTTCCAGGCATTTCTTTGTTGCTAGGCAATGATTTAGCTGGTGGAAAAGTTGTACCAAATCCCATAGTTTGTGAGAAAATCACTTCAGATGTCATGTGTAATGATGAAGACGATGACATATATCCAGCCTGTGTTGTTACTAGAGCGATGGCAAGAAGACAAGAAATGGAGGCAGACCATACTCAAGCCTTTGACAAGACAAAT